TTGTTTATTTATAGACGAATTTTTCGAAAATTTTAACGGAAGGTCGTACTTATAGATCTAAATTGACCGCATATATAAAAAATAAATTGCGCATGTTCAAATTCAAATTTTTATTCGTGGGCCAAACTTTAACTTATTCTTATAAAAAAACACATTGAAATCACGTGCCATAAAGTAGCTAATTTTTTCGAACAAAGACCGTTAATGTGGAAATTCGCTTTTTGTAAATCGTTTACGAATACTTTTTTAACTTGTTACTTTCGTTCTCATTGGGTTAGGTACCCAACTTCATATTTTTACTCTTTATTTCAAGTGATTCACAAACGCTTCACGACCAACCTTATGTCTTGAATTTTTATAGCAGCGATTGAGCAATTAGGCTTCTGATTACTAAAAGTAGCGTACCTGGTAGGTCAATTTTTGAAAATCATTTGGGGAATCAAAACGTTAGCCCAATGCATGTGAGTCATTTTTTGAATCCCTTGACTTGTTCGAGAGCAGGCTAACCTTAATGTGTAATAAACTATACTTAGCAAACGGAGAAATGCGAAAGAGACGGCTGTCAAGTCTTTACAATTTTGTTTATGTACCGAAATTATTTGAAGAATAGCAAATTAGCTTTTACCATAGCGGGAAATCCAAATTGGAACAGATAAGAGGCAAGGTAGTTGTTTTATGCGAATAATCAATGTTTTGCTTCTAAAGAATTTGTTTTAAATTTAATGACTTTCATGATTCCACTCGTTTAAAAGTACCGTACAATAGGACACAATGAATCTAACACAAACTTAATCAAGAACGGTGCTTTATGACCACCATTCCTGTTTAAAGGAGATGCCTTCAGATTTTCAGAAAAATTGACGATTCTGGGGAGATAGGGATTTACGTGTGCCTATTGTTTTTCTCTATGTGTAGGTACTTTTAAATGACAAAACCTCTGAAGGGAGCCTAATTACTTTGAATATTGTTGCTTTGAGGAGGTACCTAATTGCGCATAAAAACTTAATGATTGTTTGATTAATAAACTATGGTTCAGAAATCCTTAAGAGAAAAGGAGAACATTTTTCTTAGTGGCCCAATGTGCCCCTTATTCCCTGACCAACCATTTTTGTCCCATAGTTTATTACTATCATTAGGCCACGTCCTGTATAGTACGAGGAGCGGTTTCTACAGGCCCTTGTTGAAATTTTAAGTAGTTTCGGTAGTTACACAGTATTTTGGTAAAAAAATTTGAAGTGCGATCGTTGGACAAATATACTGTGGACTTTCCTAAAGGAAGACTTGGTTTATATTTGGCAGTACTACCACCCACTGGAGAACTAATAAGGACAGCCTTGCCACGGCACCAATTTGAATAAACCGAAAGTAAAATTAAATAAAATATGTCTAATTTAAATTATATTTATACATTTATTCTTCATGCTCTACCTACCTCCATATGAGAGCACTTCATTATAAAATGGCAAACCTTCCAGGGAGCAAAATAATATAAATATCGAGTTAATGTGGTGCACAAGGTTGACCTTTGCTTCAAATTTGCATAACCACGTACATTTAATTTTCCAATTTTGGATAGTTACAAATAAAGCATAAAAACGCAAGCAAGGCACCATAAATCTGATAGTGGGAGGTACAGTTACCTATAGACAGCAGATAAAGTGCCTCGAAGCATATTAGAATTTATTAATATTCCACAAGTTAGGACAGTACAAAGAAGGCAAAATATAATTGTTTTGGGTAATTTCTGTTCTGGTACGAGAAATGCACGTCTGTCATTTTAAACCATTCATTATTCGAATAAAAATATCTTCAATACGTAGACTACAAGTTTAAGCAATTAGGTACGGATAGAACCAGTTGTGGTATGTCGCTGTATGTGTAATTTACATTTCATTTCTTTATTTCTTCATAAACACAGAGCAAGTATTAGCGAACTCGACCGAAGAAGTGTCATTTGCATAAATTCAACTTTATTTCTGCAAATATACGTACAGCTCAATTTTGCTACCAGACTGTTTTCGATTATCTGATTGTAAACGGATAAAGCGTAGAGATCGTGATGTAGTACCAACAGTTCTGTACTAGTAGGTAGGTAATAACAGAAACATGCCACCCAGTTTGTCTAGATTTATATATCAGTCAAGATTTGCACGTTCTTTGTTAAAGTAGCGGTTTCTAGCAAAAGTCATGTAGACGATGACATAACACTTACGTGCTTCAACTTGGTAGTTCCACTCAATTAAATTTGGGCAATGAAAGATCGTGCAACAAAAGGCGAGAAAGTGGGCTAAGTAATTGGTGCGCATCTTGCGACTACAACCTCAATAGTCTCGATATAAGTAGGTACACGTTCATGTGCTATTATTGGCTTATTTGAAAATTTCAAAGTGACTGGAGACGAAGGAGGGTTTATGAAAAAGAATAACATTCTCAACGAAAGTCATACAATTTGAAATGTGGATATATTTTTTAAATCATCTTTATTGAACTGTAATGAACGTGTATGTGTACAAACTTGATCAAAGCGGCAAACGGACGGACCACAATACAAAGCCATAAAGAAACCGCACAAAAATGTGAATTTTTACTTCTATATAGATTCCTTGCACAGGGTGGTTCGTTGAAAAGCAATCATAGTTATTTTCAGACAGTTAAAGTAGTGGTTTCCGAATACCTCTCAAACACGTCAACTTTATGTTCCAGGAAGACAAATTTGATGAAAAACTTATTTTGCAATGACCTCAATTGAACTATCGATTCAGCAACCATATAATGTTACTTAAAAAATCAAAATGATCCCGAAACTCTGTTTGCGAGGTTTTAGGGCCACGAACGATTTTCTCCAAAAAATAGCCTACGGTCAAGTACTCTCTTCTCCTTTCAAGAGAATGCTCGCCTGATTCGCATAGTAAGCTTTGTATTGGGCTTGTATGAAAAGCTCCAATGAGTGACCATTAGACAATCATTGGAGCTTTTCATACAAGCCCAATACAAAACTTCTTATGTATATCAGGCGAACATTCTCTTGAAAGGATTTTCTTGAGTCATTGGGTTTGACAGGGTGCCATTTTGACCCGAATTCTTAAAAATTTTTAGATCAAGTGTCGAATATTTCCTTTGAAGCCAACGCGGTAAAGGTTTTGAATTATTAGATGTCGCCAGGCTGAGTCATACAAAAATGTAGGGAAATGTTGGCGTTGCATATAAGCAAGTTTCTCTGCCTCACCTGGTATATAAACCCATATAATTCCATCGTAAACATTCAGAGCCAATTTTCTTACCCACACTTTTGATTTTAAAAATTCAAGATGTATTCGAATTTTAAAGATAGTAGCAACTTACGAGAATTTCAGTGTTATGTTCGATATTTATAATTAAGTGTCTCTGTTATTTTGGAGATCACCGACTATAGGATTTAACAAACCGTTGCATTTTCTTTCAATTATTATATCTAGTAGAATTAGGATTTTCATTTAAAAATTGGAAATAACCGATGTCGCAATCTTCTGAAGAGAGTGGAGTTTGATTTTCGATGACACCCTTAACTGAATGCGATAACATACAAATATACATTTGAGATATTTTATTTTGTTGTGGTAGTTAGAAGTGACCTAATTACATAGCGTGATACAAAGTAAATTATACACCGAAAATGTTGCCTAACAACTATAAAAATATAAATTAAAATTAATGATCAGCTATACTGTTCCTTTACTAGACTTTATTTATTACACAGATTGGGTTGTACGCTACGGGTGTATACCGCTTAATTAAAAATAATTGACATACCTTGACATTTTGGTGCTGATTAGTATATTATTTGAAAAGAAATGTTACAAATATTGAATTTACTTATGGTCATAAAGTAGTCCAAACCACCTCGACTACTTTTTATTAATGCACGTATTTCATATGTTTAAATAATGTTTCGTGCTTGTGAACTTGTGCATTTGGTACCTATATTTAATGTTCGTGATCTTTAGAAGTGAGGCTCTTCAAGAATTTACTATAGTCTCCAAGAGCCTCTAAGAACATTCTACGGGATTTTACGGAGATAGGTACATACACCTATTATGGTTTAACAGTATTCAAAACTCTTCTAAAGCCTTCAAATGTTTTAAGGGCCGTCAAAGTGTCTCCAAGGTACCTACTTCTAGACGCTTTTAGTTTTTCAAAGTCTTCAAGAGGTTTCAAGAATCGCCAACAAATCTCACGTGAGTTTATGAGTCCTAAAAGCCCTTAGAAATCGTTATGAGTAATCATTAGTTTTTTCTCTCGTCTAATTGTTTCCACAGTCTCCTGGAGGCCTTTAGAGCCTCTATCAGACATTAAGAAGGTGCTTAATAAGCCTATAACGTTTAATACCCGAATCATGAAGGTCCTACGAACCTTGAGACTCAAAGTGAATTTAAGTGTCTTTAAAAGTCTTTAGGGGTTTTAAGAGTCGCTAACAGTTTCTAAGAGGGTCTTCTGGAGGATTATTCCTGCAATGACATTCCATTTTTGGAACGTCGATATCACACGGAGAAAAATGGATTGTTAAAATCATACAGTAAAAATTATATTGCAATCATTACGAGAAGCTATTATTCAATCATTTTGGTAAAAAAGGAAGGCCTTTTTTTTCAGACAAAAAAATTGTCAGATGACAAAGACTGCTTTTCGCGCCTCTCTTGCATAATTTTGGCAATTTCCGGCTTTAAACCTCTGCTGCCGGTGAGCACCAGTTTTGCTATAAACATTACACATTTGCAATACGGTTCAAATTGTTCGATTAATGAAACCAGATCTACGAGATGCATTAGTTCGTAAGCTGCGATTGTTTTCTTTCGAAGTGTCTGATCCGTGAGGACTTTTGTTCGACTCGGATTGTTTCTATTCCGCGACACATAAAAATTTAAAAGTGCATGTTGAAAATTTTTATTTGGTGTGAAAATGGTCGTACGGTTTATGAGCTTATAAAAGGGAGACATTTCATCTAGACTTACAAAATTACATACCCGCCTTCGTTGTTTTGTGGTTTTGTACCACTTTTATCCGAATTCTTTTGGGTTGGAGCAAAGAAAGAACTTGAAAATTGAATTGAAGGTAGTAAACGACATTAATGCATTGAATTAACTCACGTAATACTTTTTTGAGACATGGAGGTGGAGGAGCTTGTTCACTTTTTCCCGCCTTTTGCTTGAGAATCTATAATTTATTACTGCCCTGTTTTTTTTAGTTAAATAGTATCACAAAACCATTTTTCAGATGGTTCTACAATTCACCGCGATATAAGAGACCAACTTATGTAAATACAACAAATTACCTACCAAATTAAAGTTTTTGTTATCTCCCGACTTTCTAAAGATACAAACAACAAACGAGGTTATGTTGTGGTGTATCGTGGAGCGGCTACAGAGACTGATGAGGCATAAGCTGTAAGAAAGTGACTACGTTTACGCCAAATGAACGTATTCGGTTCTAGCAAATCCGGTTGAAATTCGCGATCGCATGTATGGTGCATGCCATTCATTATGCCTAAATTTTTTTTTTTTCGTAAACCATCACAGATAGCGATATTCATCAAGAGACACAAATGCTTGCAAGTAAACTGTCTATCAGTGTCTAAAAATTCAGAACCGTCAAAATAGTAGTTAAAAAGTTTTAGACCTCTTCAGATGTGGATGGTCAGTATTTTACCACCTACATAGCAACTACAATCAAAACGATGATATCACAAAGACCCTTTTTACATTAGACATTCACATCCCGACTTTCATTTTAATCGGCAAAACCATTTTCCGATAAAATAAAAATAACGATTTGTTTTTTGAATCTTTGGCGATAGATAGCGCCTTACCGAAGCACTTTTGGATAGAGGTAAGTAGGGTTAAATCGTCCTATTTTGATACCAAGAACCCCTGGTAGCGCGTTGTACAGACCTTTTAGAGACATCCTGTAGAATGTGGCCTGTAGAATCCATAATTTCAAACAGTTCCAAGATTGGGCTACTAGTTCAAAAGTTACAGCCCTTTGAATTTTCTTTCGAAATTGGTTTCTAGTCTATAACTTTTGATTGAGAAGTCTGATCGAAAAAGTACGAATTGTTTTGGATTCTACGCACCAAAATTAATAAGAAAAAGTGTTTTCCCGAGAAATTTTGGTGTAATCGATTTTTGGTAAAAAAGGAAGGTTATACACTGCCTTTTTTTGAGCCCCGAAAAAAAAATTGTCTCAGATCGACCGGGAAAAAAAATTTTCTTATAGAATGTGGCCTGTAGAATCCATAATTTCAAACAGTTCCAAGATTGGGCTACTAGTTCAAAAGTTACAGCCCTTAGAATTTTCTTTCGAAATTGGTTTCTAGTCTATAACTTTTGATTGAGAAGTCTGATCGAAAAAGTACGAATTGTTTTGGATTCTACGCACAAAAATTAATAAGAAAAAGTGTTTTCCCGAGAAATTTTGGTGTAGTCGATTTTTGGTAAAAAAGGAAGGTTGTACACTGCCTTTTTTTGAGGCTCCAAAAAAAATTTGTCTCAGATCGACCGGAAAAAAATTTTCTTATAGAATGTGGCCTCTAGAATCCATAATTTCAAACAGCTCCAAGATTGGGCTACTAGTTCAAAAGTTACAGCCCTTTCAATTTTCTTTCGAAATTGCTTTCTAGTCTATAACTTTTGATTGAGAAGTCTGATCGAAAAAGTACGAATTGTTTTGGATTCTACGCACCAAAATTAATAAGAAAAAGTGTTTTCCCGAGAAATTTTGNCTTTTTTTGAGCCCCGAAAAAAAAATTGTCTCAGATCGACCCGGAAAAAAAATTTTCTTATAGAATGTGGCCTGTAGAATCCATTATTTCAAACAGTTCCAAGATTGGGCTACTAGTTCAAAAGTTACAGCCCTTTGAATTTTCTTTCGAAATTGGTTCTAGTCTATAACTTTTGATTGAGAAGTCTGATCGAAAAAGTACGATTTGTTTTGGATTCTACGCACCAAAATTAATAAGAAAAAGTGTTTTCCCGAGAAATTTTGGTGCAGTCAATTTTTGGTAAAAAAGGAAGGTTATACACTGCCTTTTTTTTCGGACAAAAAAAAATTGTCTCAGATCGACCCGGAAGAAAAATTTTCTTATAGAATGTGGCCTGTAGAATCCATAATTTCAAACAGCAGGGTGTGTATATTAGTTGCAATAATCTAAGTTACTTATTAATACAAAGCGGAGATGTTAATTCAACTACTCCCTTATTACAAAAGCGTGCATATGAGATGGTTGCCGTTACATACAGTTTTTTTGTATGAGTTAAAACAATATATAGTAAAACTAGCTATACACTTGCAACAATATGTATATGATAAATTTGATAATTCTTCATAGCTATCCCTATACGTATTATATTTTTTGATAGCTATTATTATATTTTTAATTACCTTTAACATACATTTTTCTCCGTGCATGAAAACTATGATGTCGTAGTCTTAGATTTTACAAGGCCGCGTTTTCACGAATTTCACGAAACAGAAAGTAGTCGTAATGAATATCACATAATTGTTAAAATTCCATTATGTACTTGAACTGAGGAATTAAATATAAACAGTGAAATTGCGGGAATTGGAACTCCAACCAAGTCCCAATTACTGGCCCAATAATATTTTTTTTGGAGCAGATGGATTTTCTTTCTTTGTATTAATACTAATCTGATTGAATATTGTGGTATGACACGTAATTATGAATCCTGTACAAATTAATAAAATATGAACTGACATTATTGACTGGTAGTGTGTTCCAGTTTTCTTTAGAATGAGTAATACGTTATTTCATTCCATTGTCAGATATGCTTAAGTTTCTTCGAAACGTGAAGGCTCGCGCAGGTAGTGGGTTATTATTAAATTACGCCAATTAATTCTACGGTCTGGTTGCATTTACGCCCGGTAGACATAGTTCCAATTTTGAGCACCAATTATTATCGACGTAGATAGAACGGACTACAACAACAATGCCTCGTTCATCAATCGTAGTTTCAACAGTAACTGTACTGGAAATTATCCATTATTGAAAAACAAAGGGGAAAAATTGAAATAGATGCAATACATGTGTGGGAATTTGAGTTGAGGTATATTATGAGAAATGTGTTTTTAATTAGAACGTTCGCTAAAATGTTTGTAAATGATGAAATATAAATAGAAAATATTACGAATGCTAATTCTCAAATGGAACTAATAACAATGGTACATTGCGTTAGTTAGCATAGTTAAACTCCGCAACAATAACGTTCTTAATTCACATAAGTAACAACGTGCTTTCCGCTTTTTATGTTAATACAGATATAATCTTCCCCTTCTTCGAAAAAAAAATTAATCTTCAGCAAGGTACTGCTGGCGCTTGTTTAGTACGATTTTTCTTGTAAATGAGATAACATTGTTTTAATCGTTACTGTGGGATTTCGTGTGTTTTTTGACGGTGCGTGAACTAAAGTTAAAGTGCCGGTGGTGGACCATGATTAATTGCAACAACGGTGCGAAGGATATGAGAAGGGTACTATAGCCATACGAAAATTAGCCTATGAGACAGTCCCCTAAGATCTGAGAATCCAATTTTAATTTATGACTGATTTTGTGCAATATACCATATCGTCTTAATATTTCAAGCATGGTTCCGCAATCGTACACGGAATGAGTAACGTCAAGCATAAAATAACGATTTCTTTCCACTCTTATACTTTTAATTTCTTTATGTTAATGCGTAGTAAGTGATCGCGTGCTCATTAGATTCAAATTTTATATGTTCAGGATGTGGAGGTTTTTCAGCTTGTAATAACAATTAACTCCAAAAAATCGTCTCGAGTTAGGAGAAGAATGCCGTTTAGATCTTGATATCTAGAATGCTGTGGAGTTCAGGAAGCAAGGCATAAAATTATTGTCGTAAAATACACATTTATTCGTTTAACAAATCTTTGATTGGTTATTTTAATGTTTAAGCACAATATTAATTGCAGTCCCATTAAATAAATTTAATCAGAACATTAACTTTATATTATGTAATACGTGTGGTGTTTAGTGAAAAACTGGAAAATGAGTGTGAAATCATAAGGATTTAAAAAGACAGGATCCTTGGATGATTTAAAAAGATATGGACCTATACTCGATATCATGTCTATTACACACTCTGGACTTAAAAGCCCCTCCAAGCTGATATACTGATCAAGCTTTTTCATACTTCCGCCATGCAGTGATTTTTCTATCCCTTCCATTCTATGTTCGTAGTTTGTGAAGCGAGAAATTCTGTGAAATAACAGCATAGAAGATTTAAAGAGTCTCTGCAATACCACGTACGGAAAAGCTTACCTATTATGCTGAACTGTACCCAAAGGCTCATGAAGAATAATTTTGCGATTGACTGCTTCCGTCTGGCAGCACGAGGTGCCATAAGGTCACATATGAGGCACAAAGAATGTATTATGTCAATTTCTTCAAAATCTCAAATAACTTTTCCTACTAGGTTAGAATCTTCTGAGAACCTCCGTTTGAGACGATCAAATTTCTAGTTTTACGTTTCTAATTTTACATGTATTCAGCGTCTATCATACTAGACCAAAACATGCTATATTTTGTGTTAAATTTTAGACGCATAGTTCAGCTTTTAAGTTTTGCAAAAATTTTGAAGGTTTATGTGAATTTGCAAAGTTTACGCTAGGTGGGACATTACCTATTAAATTTTTACATGTTGTCTCCACAAATCCGAATAAATCTTTTTTATTGTGCTGTAAATCATCTTCAGATTTTTTCGGAACTTGTGTAGGTAGGTAGTAGCCTAGACATCGGGGCACCAGCAAGTTGATAAAAGCTAGCCACCGGCGATCAGGAATGAAAGCATTATTTCTTGTTCGAGAATATTACGTATTTTCTTTCTAGAAACTTTCCGTTTGTTGCTATATTAGCGAATTGAAGTGCGTTTAATCGAAGTTCATCGTGATTTCGCGATCGTGTGTGATACATTTACGTGTTATAAATTTCACTACAAGCGAGTGATAAATATTAATTATCTGTTATAAATCAATCATTAGTAATTCATTGCAAATAAATAAATCAAGTAATTAAATTTATGTTACACATGTTTTAGTCTAGATATAAAAAACATACCTAATAAGCGCTCTCTGCATGTATTTCTACATGTA